CCAAGTATTTTCTGTGTTAACTGTGAATGAATAGAACAAAATAAATTGCCTGTGATGGGAAAAAAAAAAAAAAGAATGTCAACAAGCAGAGGTGAGAAGTCAGAAGGTCCTATCAGTAGGTATGGTAGAATTCGATTGACAACTGATGGCTCCTGTGAGAGACACAGCCAGTTTTCTTTGGAGATGTGGTTCCTGAGAGGATATTTGTGCTGAGGATATGGCCTCACACATTTGCATACAGACAACATTAAATGAGCTCAATGGTTAAAAAAAAAAAAAAAAGAGAAAAAAAAAAAATACAAAATTTATCTTCTATGGTTCTTCCCATTAATCTTCAGCCTCTTCAAAAGGGGGAAAGAATTACTGGGCACTCAATTTGCTATGTTCTTTTTTTTAATTTTCATTTAATCCAAGTTGAAGTGTGTTCCACTGACTTATTCACTGTGTGTGCTGGAGAGTACCCGCCGTGATGTACCCGTGGAGCTGGGGCTCTTCTACCACGTGGGTCAGGGACCAAAGCCCTGTCCCAGGCATGGCTGGTGGTAAGCGCCTTGACCACTGAGCATGTCACTCCCAAGGTGGAAGTTTATTAAGAAAAGATTTGAATATGGATTTAAGCTTGAGTGCTGAGACCCACAGTCAGGGAAAGGACAGTTTACACACTCAGTGGGTTCAGACTTTTCCAGAGTCAACCTGCTCCACCTCCCCAGGAGCTGGCCAGTTACATAGGAAGTACAGACCTCAGCCTGAAACACAACACTCAAGTCAACTCTTCATCCAAACACTCGTCTGTCCCCACTCCTCTAAAAGTACCTACCTCTTTCTGTCTTGGGGGTCTCGTCCCATCTGTTTTTACGAGCGCTGGAAGTTGCACCGCCATGGCCTGGGGTTGCATGGCCTGGCGTATCGCCTCGTCCAGGAGTAGCGGCTCCCGCAGGTGTATGACTAGGTGTAGGATCCCATATTTTTGAACCCGGGGTTGCTCCAGGCGTTTCACTTCCTTTTGCACGACCTGGTGTCTCATCCCATCTTAAAGAAGGGGTGTGCCCAGGGGTCTTAACAAAGCAGAAGAATTGTGTTTTACAAATGTGTTAAACAAAAAAACCAAATACATGTATCTGTAAGTTGTCTCCTATACTCAAAGTTAAAATAGACTATCATTCTGCTTACTGTCTTACAATGCTTATAACAGAACCAATGCACAGCTTTCATTTGGAACAATGAAAAAAAGCCCTAGATCAAACCACAGGACTGCAAGATGGCTCAGCACCGGCTGCTCTTCCAAAAGACCTGGGTTCAATTCCCAGCACCCACATGGTAGCTCACAACTGTCTATAGCTCCAGTTCTAGGGCTTCTGACACCCTGACACAGACATACATGCAGATAAAACACCAATGCATATAAAAATAAACAAACAAGCAAATCGTTAAAAAAGCACACACACACATTCTGGGTTGTAAACTTTTGTAAATATATATTGTACTGGTAATTTGCCAAGTGCTGCCTAAGTTTGTTAAAAGCTGATGCTGAAGGAGGAGTTGCCCAACCCCCATTTCAGACCCGAGCATGTTTGTCTCAAACTGTTTTCTAAGACACACTTCCTGGGTGGAGCTGACTCCCTCTTACTACAACAGGAAGAGGAAAAAGAGCAAAAGAGCCCAAGAGTAAAAACACCATCCTTGAGAACAGCTAAAAGGTAAACTATTTCCAGCAAATGTCACCTACTGTTACCACATGATAAACACGTCTGCGCTACAGCAGGGAAGAAAAGGCATTCATGGAGGGAAAGCCGCCTAAGGAACTAAGCTAACTGCCTCCGTTTCCCCAGCTGATTTCTGCTGGATGTTGGGATGAATGCCTTTGCTGATGATGTTACTTTTGTTTTTTTTTCTTATTCAGGCTACTCCAGCTGTCTCTTCTGGATATTATAAAACCCTCATTCAATAAAGTTTTATTTATCTGCTGTACCTATCTTATCTATTAGTTATTGTTCTCTTATTCCTTTAAAAAAACTTTTATTATAAACAAATTTGTAAACACACACACACACACACACACACACACACACACACACACACCCCAAATTACCCAGACCTTAAGTATCCAGCAGGAATATCCATTTAGAAGGGAGGCTGTGCAGCTTTCTTTTACTCTTATGTGCTGTACACTTAATAACTCATTCAAAACCGAAAACAAGGCAATTAAAATCATCTCTAAATCATACAAAATATCTTAAAATAGACAACTAAGAACTCTATGGCTTTAGAAAATCCATGGACATTTGTCTATCTACATCTCCAATACAAGACTTTCAGTTCTGATTTAAACTCATGCTTTCCAAGCTGGATCTCTGAGACACAGAACCTCTGGAGAAGGAACATACTTTTTAAAACATGTTATAAGCCAGAAGAAAGTAAATCTCTGCAGAGTGCAGAGCCAAGCTGGTTTACATGGTTTCAGGCAACCCACACGCTGCTTTGATAGAAGCATAGAACCACTGTTTCTAAGAGTTGAAGGTTCCCAGAGATGGTGGTAAACGTACCACCGCCATGATGGGAAGTTGAAGTGGGCAGAGCCATCAGCCAAAGCTGCTATTTTAGCCCTAGTAATGCTGCAGTTTAAAACAACAGATTCACAATAAGACAGATTCAGATGGAACAAGACTTTAAATGTTTTACCATGTGTGTAAAAATGTACGTAGGCTTGGAAGAGAGAGAAAAAGTAATATATACAGTTATATAAAGAAATAGTGTTTAAAAATAAAGTCATTAAAGAGACAGTAGAGGTAGTATAAAAAATAAGCCACGTAAAGATGGATATCACACAGAAAATCTCGATTGTGTTGTCTTTGGGATTTTTTTTTAAGACTTATTTATTTATTATGAATACAGTGTTCTGCCTTCATGTCAGATTTCATTACAGATGGTTGTGAGCTACCATGTGGTTACTGGGAATTGAACTCAGGACCTCTGGAATAGAAGCCAGTGCTCTTAATCACTGAGCCATCTCTCCAGGCCCCTATCTTTGGGATTTTTAACTGCAGAAAAACATTTGATTATAAAAGTTGTTGAGTTAGGCCAGTATCTATATTTTAAAGGTACCTTGACTTCAAAATTTGGATGTAAGGATATGTTGCTTTGGAAAGGAGGCTCTGCTTTTGTGTCCACAGAAAGCCAGAGGCTATGAATTTGTTCCAGATTAAGTAAGATACATCAGGTTTGACCAGCCAAGACTCCCAGAAAGATCTCCCGATGACACCATGGCCCAGATGATCCAACATCCAGAACAGTTTCAAGGCAACTGGCTCAGATGATACACCCTCACGGACTACTCCATAATCCTAAAATTGTCTTTGTGTCCCCATAAGATACAGCACCCCCCTCCAGGAGAAAGTAGTAAGAGAAGCTGTGCCCAAATTCCCGAATATACCAAGCTGGCTTTGGAGATGGAACTGGCTCACTCCTTCTCTAAACCCAAACATATTGCTTAAAAAATAAGGTTGAAAGATTCTTTTGTCCCATATCAGAAGAGCCCTCTGGTGTGGGACAAAGGAAAAAAAACAATATTTTTATTTAAATCAGGTTGATTATTAATGCGATCTCTTTCTAAAGAAGAAAAGGGGATATGCTATAGATATGATAGGATGAAAGGGTAGATTACTGAATCTACTTTTAAACAGCAACAACTTGTTTGAAAAGTTTTACATTGGTATAGATTTTAGTTTATTGATACAAATTTAAAGTTAATTTTGTTATACTGTGTGTATATTTCTACTCTTGTTTAAGGTATTATGTTTATACAGCTCATTTAAAATTGTAATGGAAATTAAGAAATAGATTAATATTTAGTCATCTATGATAATCATACTTTTTTTTTTTTTTTTTTTTTTTGGTTTTTCAAGACAGGGTTTCTCTGTGTAGCTTTGCGCCTTTTTCCTGGAACTCACTTGGTAGCCCAGGCTGGCCTCGAACTCACAGAGATCCGCCTGCCTCTGCCTCCCGAGTGCTGGGATTAAAGGCGTGCGCCACCACCGCCCAGCAGATAATCATACTTGTAGCCATGTTAGTTAAGTTTTCTAGGGATACATAGATATATTTCAGATAGGTTATCTTCAAACACTTCAAAGACCTACAGAATATGGCATTTAAAATGTTTTAAAAATTTAGACTTTCTGGACAATGAGAAATGTCTGTCTGCTCCTGGCAGCACCAATTTACTTCAGAGAGGAAGATGAGCATCAAAGAAACTCCATATGGAGTTTATCATCTTCTTGGCAAAAATAGCCATTTGGGCAATAAACTGTTCTTGCCTGGACTGCTTGATCGACTGTACATGCAGGACCCATGGGAAGGTGACCACTGAACTTTGCTTGGCAAAATGGTCCTTCAGGTTCCTGCTTCACAGAGGAAACTGCCAGACATTCTACAGGACACAGAAAAGTGACTGAGAGACTCTCTAGGCCTGTGGGCTGAAGACAGATGCCCCAACTTTACAAGAGAACTTTGGATGACTGTCCAGGCCGCCAGCTGTCTCTGTCTACTCTCACAAGACTCCCGAAAGTTGCTTGCATCCTTCTCCCATTTCTCAGGTAATAGTATATCCTTCTGGGGTCTTTAATGTAGTTGAAGACTAAAGTTATAAATGTGTGGAATGCAGGCTGGCAGGCTCAGCAGCAAATACCTTTACTACTGCGATGCTGCCAAGATCAGTGGGAAGAAGAGACTAGAGGTGGATTCAAGTGAGGCCCCAGAGTGCAGCACAGCTCAAATATGCAGTGTCATGGTGGTGGCACGGGGAGGGGAGGGGTACGTTTATATTTGTGGGACGAAGCAGCCCAGAAACCGGCCTGGAACTCACAATCCTGCCTCACCCTCCCTAGGGAGGGATTATAAGGATACAGCACCACATTCGGCTAAAGACTGTTATTCAGGACGGAAAAATTCTGGATAAGGTAAGTAACAAAAATGAATTATTCACCATCTTAATTTGCTCTTCCTATCCAAAGAAGAGGTGGGAATGTGAATCCTCCTGCCATGCCTCCTACTTTCCATAAATAAGCTGATGGGTCTGAGTCAGGATGGTTGTTATACAAAGACGGCTCAGCAGGTAAGAGCGGTTAACTGCTCTAGCCAAGACCCTGAGTTCAGTTCCTACCACTACACTGGTGGCTCCTCACAGCCTGCATCTCCAACTCTGACACCTTCTCCTGACCTCCATGGGCATCTGTACATGTGTGGTGTGCATTCACAGACATACCTGTAACTAAAAGTAATAAATCTTTTTTAAAAAATTAACTCTTCTGGGGGGGGGGGGGGCACGCCTTTAAACCCAGCACTCGGGAGGCAGAGCCAGGCGGATCTCTGTGAGTTCGAGGCCAGCCTGGGCTACCAAGTGAACTCCAGGAAAGGTACAAAGCTACACAGAGAAATCCTGTCTCAAAAAAACAAACAAAAAATAAAAAATTAAATAAAATAAAAATAAAAAATTAACTCTTCTGTCTAGTTACAAGTACACAGCTAAGCTATTCTGAGTAAAACAAGTTTATCTTGGCTTTAAAAACTCAGAAGTACAGCTAGGATCTAGTTTGTTTTAATGACTCTGTTTCTGTCACTGTGGATTGCTGTTAGCGCTAGCTTAGCCCACTGTGTATTATTTACATATCATGAAAAACTCATCTTTAACTAATAGTATTTTCCCATTTTCAGGATTGGTCTACATTAAACGCAATGCATAGCTCTCGGCTAGGCATGGTGACACAAGAGTTTAATCTCAGCACTCAGGAAGCAGAGAGAAAAGTTTCAGGACAGCCAGGGATACACAGAGAAACCCTATTTTGAAAAAACAAAACAAAACAAAGCAAACAAAGGGTGGGGGTATCCAAGTTTAGTTCCCAGAACTTAGACAGCTCACAACACCTGTAACTCCAGCTTCAGAGGCTCCAACACCCTCTTCCGGCCTTCACTGGCACTGTACTCACACTTGCACAAACCCACATACAGACAAGTATAAATAATAAATCTTTACCAATTTATTTATTTATTATGTATAGAGTGTTCTGCCTGCAGGCCAGAAGGGGGCACCAGATCTAACTACAGATGGTTGTGAGCCACCATGTGGTTGCTGGGAATTGAGCTCAGGACCTCTGGAAGAGCAGCCAGTGCTCTTAACCTCTGAGCCAATAAATCTTGTTTTAAATTAGCTTTGAACACCAACAGAATTAAAATTAGGGATGGGTCAGAAGATGGCTCAGTGGGTAAAGGTATCTGACACCAAACCTTACAACTTGAATTCCATCACTAAGACTCACTTGGAGAAAACCAACTTCTATGGCTTATCTCTGACCTCTACATGTACACATGCACGTTCACATACACACACAAAATAAAGGGAAAAAAATAGAAAAATAAATATAAGTAGTCATGAATTATGCATAGCAGGATCACATTCTCTCAATGAGAAAATGGAGAGTCCTCAGGATCTGTCTTAAACTGTGTGTGTGTGGGGGGGGTATCTACCACCCCCACATTTCCCCAGAGTGCTCTTGAGTTGGAGCAGCAGGAAATATTAGCTAGAAGGATTTAGAGTGTGGAGATAAACAGAAAATATAGGATAGCCTCAAGACGGCCTGGAACCTATTCCAACGAGCCCTGACTGCCTCTGTCATAGGGTATTAATAGAAATGCAAAAGATCACCCCCCAGCACAGCCAACTGCAGACCATCTCAGACACCTGTACCCAGGCCTGTGGTCCAATCATCCTCTCTTTGCAGACCAGCTGGGTAAAGCCACTAGGAAACCTCAAAATGGGCTCCCACATTAAACTAAACTGAAAACTATGTATTGGGTTTAATGTAGACCAATCCTGAAAATGGGAAAATACTATTAGTTAAAGATGAGTTTTTCATGATGTGTAAATAATACACAGTGGGCTAAGCTAGAGCTAACAACAATTAAGAGCACTGTGACAGAAATAGAGTCATTAAAACAAACTATCTGTACTTCCAAGTAGCACTACTCAAAGTGTGTTTCTGGAAAGGACGAAGCAGTGTAAAGAGAACAGGCTGACAGTTGTGAATCCAGCAGATGTAAGAACACCAAGGGATCAAGCCAAAGGGGCAGAAAGATGATACAGGGAACTAACTCATCATTTCCTCTTCAAAAGGAATTTTGAAACATCAGCAAGGTATGGTGAATTGTACCTATAATCCCAACACCTGGGAGGTAGAAGTGGGAGAATCAAGAGCTCGGAGTCATCCTTTCTCAGTTACAACATGACTTAAGGGTGAGCTAGCAAGATAGAAAACAAAGGAATATAGAGCGATGATTTCCTAAGTACAGAATCTCTGTTTTGTGTGATGGAAAAACCCCACAAATGGATAATAGTATCAGGACATAATATCACGATGTAATAAATCAATACAATTAATGTAATTAATGAATATCATAAATATAATTATTGAATGAATACTGCGAATGTAATCAATGAATACCACAAATGTAATTAATATCATGAGTGTAATTAATGAATACCATGAATGTAATTTAAAAAATCAATCAATCAATCAATCAATCAATAAAAAAGGTGAGCCAGGCTACATGAGACCCTGTCCAGGTATCCAAACCTGTCCAACTAAGACAAATATACAAGTCTAAGGAATAGAAGTGGACAGATTGCACACCTTTATCCCAACACTAGGGACACAGGAGACAGATCTCTGTGTGTTCAAAGCCAGCCTAGTCTAAATAGCAAGTTTAAGGCAAGCCAAGGCTACACAACAAGACCCCATCTAACCCTATCTTAAAAAAACAGAGAAAAGAAAAAGGAAGGTGGGAGAAATATCTCAGCAGCTAACAACATTACTCTGCCAGGTGGTAGTGGTGCATGCCTTTAATACCAGCACTTGGTGGGTCAATCTCAGAGTGTGATGCTACCCTGGTCTATACAGCAAGTTCCAGGGTAGCCAGAGCTATAAGGCAAAACCTCGTGAGTGAATGAATGAATGAATGAATGAATGAATGAGGAGTGAGTGAATGAGTGAGTGAGTGAGTGAGTGAATGAGTGAGTGAATGAGTGAGTGAATGAGTGAGTGAATGAGTGAGTGAATGAGTGAGTGAATGAGTGAGTGAATGAGTGAGTGAATGAGTGA